TAATAATAATAATAATAATAATAATAATAATAATAATAATAATAATACTGTCATAAATAGTTAACTCAGGAGCTTTTTCCATCAGCGTTTGTGTAAACTCTTACAGATCCTCAGTGGGAATTAAAGATTGCCTTGCAGCAGAGTTTCCCAACCATCTACATTCTGGACGTTTTGTTCTTTGTAATAGTCTGAAAATTCTGGGAACCATAATGCCATCTCTGCCCTAATGATTTATAGCAGAGGTCTCCAAACTTGGCAACTTTAAGACTTGTGGACTTCAACTCCCAGAATTCTCCAGCCAGCAAAGCAAGCAAAGCAAAGCTGGCTGGAGAATTCTGGGAGTTGAAGTCCAGAAGTCTTAAAGTTGCCAAGTTTGGGGACCCCTGATTTATAATATCTTCTTGACTAAGTCTGTGTTATGACCAAGGACAGACATTGTGTTACTTCAGTGTTGGTTGGATGACACAATGAAAGGACTGGAGATTATAACATACAAAGAACAGTTGCAGGAACTGGGTATGTCTCGTTTAATGAAAAGAAGGACTAGGGGAGACATGATAGCAGTGGTCCAGTATCTCAGGGGCTGCCCCAAAGAAGAGGGAATCAAGCTATTCTCCAAAGCATCAGAGGGCAGGACAAGAAGCAATGGGTGGAAAGTAATCATGGGGAGATCCAACCTAGAACTAAGGAGAAATTTCCTGACAGGGAGAATAATTAACTAGTGGAACAATTTGTTTCCAGAAGTTGTGGGTGCTCCAACATTGGAAGTTTAAAAAAGAGATTGAACAGCCATTTGTCTGAAATAGTATAGGGTCTCCTGCCTGAGCAGGGGGTTGGACTAGAAGACCTCCAAGGTCCCTTCCAGCCCTGTTATTTTGTTCTCTCTGTTAAGCCTCTTATAGAGTGGTAATTTTCAAAATGTATCCTTGCAGAAGAATATAACAGACTGTGTGACAATTATTAATATAATTCTTATAAAACAATTCCACCCTTGCAATTTCTACCCATAGGATGGTTCTTGCATGAATTCATGTAGCGTAAGAAATGGGATTACTTACATCAGCATGAAAATGTATGAACATACACTAAGAATAAAATTTAATATATGTGTGTTGTTAGAAATGTATTTTGAAATTATGTGAAAAGAGAATGGTTAATCTCTGAATGTATCATTTTTTTTCTTCTTCTTCTGATTATCTAAGGCAGTTTGTACATTTCCAAAGGTTTCTTTTCCGAAATAGGAGGAATTCATGAAGCTCCAGATGTGGTTTGACTATGTGAAAAATGAAACTTCCTTTAGGAAAACCAGGATATTAAGACTAAAACCAGAATAAGAGCTGTGGTGGCGCTGTGATTTGAGTGCAGTATTGCAGGCTAATTCTGTTGTCTGTCATCAGTTCAATCTTGACAAACTCAAGGTTGATTCAGCTTCCCATCCTGAGGTTGGTAAAATGAAGGCCTAGATTCTTGAGGGCAAGTTGCTCACCCTGTAAACCACTTAGAGAGGGCTGTAAAGCACTGCGAAGCAGTATATAATCCTAAGTGCTGTTGCTATTGCTATATTTTGAAGACAAATGACTCTGTTTTGCACTTTCATTCTGGCTTATTGTGCTCTGGCAATGTAGCCAATTTGTGGCTTATTAAATGAACCATGATAAAACTAACAATGTCTTATTGCAATATGTGAAACCTGTGAATATATTACACATATAATAGGGAAGCTATCTTGCTAAGAAAGACCATCTGTTGCTGCTTGTCCATTGGAATTGTTTTGGAATTTCTCCTTATTCCAGTATATCTTATTTATATCAAGTAAAATTTATATATAAACGCTGACACCGTTTTGTTTCTATTCACTGTTTGAAAGAATTACCATGCAACACAAATAAATAAAAGAGAATACTTCAGGGCTAAACTGTTGGGTTTCTAAGCTTCGTTGTTTTCTTGCAGTTGTCTCATGACTCATCTAGATAACATCATCGATAGTATCTGTCAAAAGAATTTGAAGTCCCAAATCCTATCCAAGGTTGCGCAATAATGAATCAGAATGAAATCCAGATATGCTCCCCATGCTCACATGATCCCAAATTTGGATGCTTGGCAACTTATTCATATTTATAACATTTGCAGTGTCCCAAGATCATGTCATCCCTTTTTTGCAACCTTCTGACAAGCAAAGTCAACGGGGAAGCCAGATTCAATTAACCATGTTAAAAACTAAAAATTGTAGTGATTTGCTTAACAACTGTGGCAAGAAGGGTCATAAATTGAGGGAAAGTTTACAGAACTGTTTAGCCTAGCAACAGAAACGTTAAGGAGTATCTGTAAAGTTATTTACTAGGTGATGTTTTGAATGCAAATATTTTCCACATCAAGAAGGAAAATGTCTGGTTTCCTTTGCACATACTGGATTACATCACTGTTTTTCCAACCTTGGCTATTTCAAGAGGGTTGGGCTTCAACTCCCAGAATTCCATGGTTCTGGAAGTTGCAATCCATGCATCTTAAAAGTTGCCAAAGTTTCACCATGATTTCAAATTAATCTATGGATGATGAAGGCTGGAGCCAACAATTTGGCATCTAGATTAGACCCTAATCTGTTACTCTTAAAAGCATGCAAACTGGAACAAAAGAGAAAGCATGTTTTTCTCTTCTACTCTGAAAAATTAGGAACACCAGAGCTAAAAATGCTTTTCATAGAAAACATAGCTTCATGAAAAAAGGATCCTTGTTTGGACACAGAAATGGCACTTTTTAAATAACCTAATAAATGAGCACCATGGCCATTAACAGTAATTGCAGGTTATACAAGCTTCTCCAATATCCAACTTTGCTCTTAATTTTTCTCTCCCTGTTGTGATTATTATTAATAATATTTTTGCTAGTCTGTCTAAAGGTTTCAGTTGATCTTTGGTAAGCCATTGAAACAAAGAAAACCCAGCCATTTCCATCATGCCTCCTTTGCATTTGTTTAACTAATGTTTATGCTTTTAACAATTTTTTTGTATGGTTTTAGATATTGTTTTAATTGGGAGCTATTTTCATTGGGAGTTTGATATAAAATGGATGACTATATGAATCCCCTAAGTGCTTTTTCAAAAGGCAACTGGACTTCCTTTGTTTTTTCTTGAAGACATTTCCCTTCTCATCCAGGAAGCTTCTTCAATTCTTGCTTGCCTTGATAAATATTGAAGAACTGAAGAAGCTTCTTGGATGAGAAGGGAAACGTTTTCAAGAAAAAACAAAGGAAGTCCAGTTGCCTTTTTTAAAAAATAGCACCTTTAGGGCAACCATGACTTGGATGACTGAGAAACTCCAGAGACCTAATGACTATATAAATATCAATACATTTTTTAAAAAGATGGAATTCACAATTTCCAGTTAGAGATGACTGAAGCTGGCCATTTCGGCATGGTTCAAGGATGCCTATTTTTCCAACTGCAGTTTATTTCCCAAATTCATGATTGGTTTGCCTTCTTTTGCCCGAAGGTTCCCTGAAAACCATTAGCTGTGTTTTTGCACATTTGACTGGTGGGATTATGTGCCATCACCTGAGTGTCAGCTCCTAGCAACCTGATAGGTCAACCTTGCAAGACCTCATGAGGCTTTTCACTTACTAAACATATATATATGTGTGTTTTTGAATACGCTTTCCCTTGAAATATATAGTCCTCTACTTATAACTATAGGGCAGGACAAGAAGCCATGGATGGAAACTAATCAAGGAGAGAAGCAACCTAGAACTAAGGAGGAATTTCCAGACAGTGAGAACAATTAATCCGTGGAACAACCTGAATCTCCAACACTGGAAGTTTTTAAGAAGAGATTGGATAGCCATTTGTCTGAAATGTTATAGAGTCTCCTTCTTGAGTAGGAGGTTGGACTAGAAGACCTACAAGGTTCCTCCCAACTCTGCTATCCTGTTCTGTTCTACTCTACTCTATGGCCAAAACATCCACTACCACAAGATGGTTGCTAAGTGACTCATGCCTGACTTTATGACCTTTATTGACATGGTTATGAAGTCAATCACAGCCATTGTTAAGCAAACCATGTGGTCCTTAAGCAAATTCAGCTTCCCACATTAACTTTCCTTGTCGGAAGCCAGATGGGAAGGTCACAAATGGCAATCCAATCATCCCAGGATCCTGCAACAGTCATAAATACAGGTAGTCCTTGACTTACAACTGTTCATTTAGTGACTGGTCACAGTTACAATGCACTGAAAAAAGTGACTTAAGACGATTTTTCAAACTTACGACCTTTGCTGCCTTCCCACAGCCATGTGATCAAAATTCAGGTGCTTGGCAACTGACTCGTATTTATGATGATTGCAGTGTCCTGGAGTCACGTGATCGCCTTTTGCGACCTTCTCCCAAGCAAAGTCAATGATGGAGCCAGATTAACTTAACAACTGTATTACTAATTTAACAACTGCAGTGATTCAGTTAACAAATGTGACAAGAAAAGCTGTAAAATGGGGCAAAACATACTTAACAATTTTCTCACTTAAGAGCATAAATTTGGGGGTCAATGGTGGCCATAAGTCGAGGACTTCCTGTACAGGTAGATTGCCAAATGTCTGAATTTTGATCACACGACCCCGGAGAAGCTATGAGTGCCAGCTGTTAGTCATTTTTTTTCAGTGCCGTAACTTTGAATGCTAAATGAGTGCTTGCTAAGTCAGTGACTCTGTTGTGGTTTGTCAGTAGGCTGTGCAGATGGCAGCGGAATCAGACAGTGAGGAAGATCAGGGACCAGTCAGTGAGTCTGGAGAGGACTCAGACGAGGGTCCTGTATCTGATGCAGAGATGGGGCGAGGACCATCTGGGAGTGGGGTGCTAACTCTGGAGCCTCCGGAGTCTGGCAGC